CCTAAATCTAGGTCAAAAAGTGAAATAAGATCTAAAATTTCATGCAAAGTCTCCAAACCACAACCACATCATAGATCTAAGAGATATAATGTTCATGGGACTTAAAGAAATCATAAAGTTACAAACTTTATCTCATCTACTCATTCTAACTTCAATAACAAGGCAAAATATGGCATAAAATCTTGATCAAAGTGTAACAACCCAAAATTCATAACAATATTTTCATTTTTATTTTAGCAAAAACCTCAAAGTATCATAAAAATCCAAACAAGAAACACTAGGTGTATTAATACATTAATCCCAGATCAGAGTATCAAAATGTGGAAATTATAAAAGATCCACGAGCCCAAGTGTACAGTCATTGCTTTACCTTTCTGTGATCATCCGAGGTACCTAAAACACATTTAATCCACAACTGTAAGCATAAACCTTAGTGATACCCTATCAAAATATCCATAAAACACAACAATAAAAAATAACTCTGGGTTATCCGCAACCCTAGGGATTATCAGCAATCCCAGTGGACAAACAACAAGCCCTGTGGATTAACAACACGTTTCAGGGGTTATCAACAACACTAGGGATTCTCAGCAATCCGAAAGTTATCAGCAGTTCAATTCAGATAAGATAGCAATCAACAATAAGGACCCCTCTAGTCATAAATATAAATACCACACATGTAAAAGTAATGAGAAGACTCACCTTGCAAATAGCAGCTAGAAATATGACGACTCTTACATACAAGCTAGACAGGATCAACGAGATACCTAATCGCAGTAAAGTCATACCCTATCAGCATACATCCTAGGACTCTAGTTGACTAAAAAGTCAACCATAGTCAAAAGTGAACGGTCAAGGTTAACTTGATAGACCCGTGCGTCGTGGCCCCTTATGGCCACACCGTGGTCACTCCAAGACAAAATAGTTGGAAACTGATTAACTCCCATGCCGTGACCACTGTGGTCCACACAATGGCAATTGTCCAGCAATATGGTTGTGAAAACACTTGTCGCCACGCTGTAGGCACTGGTCAGCAAAGACTTAATGGATTAAGTTGCTTTGCGACAATCCTGATAGCTCAAACTTCCAGATCTGGACCTCCTCATGGTCTTGATGGATAAGGTTTCCAACTTTATCTATTAAGACCTCCTATTATGACAAGATCTCAACATCTAAGATCCTAATGACAGCACTAATCCAAGCGTATACTAAAATAGCCATGCAAACCAACTTTCCAACCAACCCCAAGGTCAAGAAATTAACCATTGCACTAAAAGGTTAATGAGCTCACTCCAACTCCATAAACAAGAATATTTGGGGACAAAACTAATGAAATTTACCTAGAACTCGATCTAGAGAATCAATTGTCTAGGTAAAGACTTTATACCTTCAATGATGCAGAAAAGAGGTGTAGATGATGGATGTAACATCCCGGAATCGCAAGAGTAGAGTTGAAGGGTTAAAAGTGTAAGTTTTGGAGGGCGACTCGGCGATTCACATGGATGGACTCGGCGAGTTAGGTCGCGACTTTGGTCGCGTGTCAAGTGGCCTACTCGGCGAGTCCAAGGATGAACTCGGCGAGTAGGTGCTGGGCGAAGAAAACCCTAAATCCGGGGAATGAGCCCTATATAAAGATCATTATGTTCCTCCACAGCCTCCTTGATCCCCCCTTGAGTCCCAGAAACCCTAATTTCGTGGAGGAACCCCATTGTTGAGCAAATTGGAGCTTGGAGAGGTGGTTGTTGAAGAAATCTTAGAGGAGAAGAGGCTTGGATCAAAGGGTTTTGCTTGGATTCGAGTGTCATTGTTGTTGAGGCATTCTTTGGAGGTAATACTTTCGTTCTTGGGCTGTGTTTTCCTAGATTCTCATTTTGGGGTTGTGTGGGAAGCTTAGTTGTGTGATATCTTGAGTTTGAAGGATGGATCTGAGGTTGCTACCTCATATCTGGAGTGGAGAAGATCTTAAGAGCATTAAAGCCCCTGTTCTTATGTTGTTTATGGAGCTATCATGTCCCAAACCTTGGTTCTAAGGTGAATAAGGCCTAGATCTCTTTAGATTCACGTAAAGTTTGCCACTTTACGTGATGGATGGATTGTAGGAGGTTGGATCTATGTTTTGGATCAAGTGCATGGCCTGGAGTGCTTCTGAATTGATTCAGATCGGGTTGACTCGACGAGTCACATGGGTGGACTCGACGAGTTGCTTGAAGATGGCCTGGAACTCGGCGAGTCTGTTCTTGGACTCGGCAAGTCTTGTCGAAGAGTCCCAATAATTTCTGGTTGAGTCGAGAATCGGTGAGTCAGGGGATGACTCAGTGAGTTGAGTGCGAGTAGACTCAGAGTGGTTGGACTCGGCGAGTCTTGGGGTGACTCGGCGAGTCAGGTCGCGGATTGAGGGAAGTTCTGAACTTGGGGACTCGGCGAGTCATCGGGTTGACTCAGCGAGTAGGGTCACTCAGGGGTTGACTTTGACTTTGTCCAAGGTTGACCAGTTGTCTTCCAAGGGTATTTTGGTAATTAAGGGTATTTATTGAATTGAATGTTTCGGTGTTCAGTGGAGGAGTTCGTGTCAGGGTTGGAGCAGCGGGATCTTATCCTTTCAGCCGGCAGTTTCGAGGTGAGTTATCCACTATATCAACAGGGTCTAAGGCACCAAGGCCGACCCTTATCGGATTGAGATCCGGGTAGTTGTTATTATTTTGTTGTTGTGATATGCTTGCATCCTGAGAGTTAGGACGGTATATGTTAGAGACCTGATTGAGATCAGTATCCTGAGAGATAGGGAGATGCTATGCTAATGACCTGTTAGGTCGGTATCATGCTTAGAGTATGTTATGCTATGTGATCTGCTAGACCGGCTTGTTTGAATGTGAACTGTTATATGATTATATGTTTATGTGTACATGGTTGCTTGGACTGGAGATGGGTTGAGGCGGTCCTACTTTGTGCTGTAGGCCAAGATACTCAGGGCGGACCGGTTGTTCCGAAGGCCCAGCGAGCGGTCCGGATATGCTGTAGGCCCCATGCGGGCGGACCAGACGTGCCGAGGCTCGGAGAGTGGACTAGGCCGACTGAAGGCCCGATGTGGGCAGACCAGTCATACTGTAGATTCAGAGAGTGGACCAGGTGAGTTGAAGGCCCAGTGCGGGCGGACCAACCACACTGTAGACTCGAAGGACATGACTAGACCTGGAGGATGGATCCGGTGGACTGAAGGCCCGAAACGGCGGACCAGTCACACAGTAGACCCGATATGCATTGCTGTTCTATGTTCTGTTATGTTATGTATGTTTTATATGTTATGGGCCGGAAGACAATATGTTTTGGACCGTGATATGGGCATATTTTGTCATATAATTCATGCATTATCTTAATACTTTATGTTGTTGTTGTCTCATATAATGAACCAAAGGTGCTTAATTAGCTTAAATATTTCACTTTCAGCAACAAAGACATGCTCGAAAGGAAAAGGAAGCGGAACTAACGATTGGAGGCTTGGATCTTGGATTTTGAAGAAAGAAGGATGTTGCTGGACAGCTTGATCCCTCGTCAGTGTTTTGGCCATATCTCATGAACCGTAACTCCGATTGACGAGATTCAAAATGTTCTGAAAAGTAGACACAATTTAGGACGACTTTCGTGTTTTGAGAAAATGCTGATTCGAAATGTAATCGGCGAGTAGGGTCGATTACTCGGCGAGTTGTATCGAACTTTCGCGATTCTCACTACTAGAAAAATAGCCTTTTACAACGTGCAATTTATGATACGCGTTGATTTACGATATGCAAAAGTGTGTGACCTAAAAGTAATGTCATCTCTCTATAAATTTTAAGGATTTAGTACGTACATTTTTGCGTGCCCTTAAATTAGTATCTAAAAAAAACACGGAGGGCGCCTATAAAAAAATGTGCGTCGTCTGAATTTGTCGCTTTATAAATTTTAATGGAAATGCGCGTTCCATCCTTTAGTAGCTAGAGGGAAATGAAATCCTAAAAAATTAAAAACCCCGCCTTCCTTTTTCATCCTTTCCCTCTTGCCCTAATTATCGACGCTCCTAATTCCCCTCCCCACATTGACTGCCGCCTACTTCTTCCCTCGAACTTTGACCATCGTTACTTGCCATTCCCGGTCGTTGACATCGATCAAGGCAAGCACGGCACCAGCCGACAACCTTCACTCTCTCCTTCTCCTTTTCTCTGTAAACCCTAATCCACCTCCACCACTACCGAATCTACCTCAACTCACCTCTGACCTCGGCTCATCTCTTACCGTCGGCGACCTCGGGCTCACTTCACCTCACCAGATACTACAACGATTGCTCAAGTTTACAAGCCCCAGGTTAGATTAATATTAAACTTGAGTATGATTTTAATGAGATGATGGATTTCCGTAGTCGCTTTTTTATGAAGAAATTTCCCACATGCATACCAGATCTTCGAATTGTTGCAGAAGGGGATGACCCACGTGTTATTTACGCTAAAAAACTCAACTTTTGTAGGTGTCTCAAAGCGTAAGCGAACCAGGACAAGGGAAGCAATAAATCCAACACTCACTCTCAAATCGATTCTACTGGACAAGTTTTTAATTTGGGCTCTCTACATTCTCATCGATTCTACTTTTATTCAAGCATAAATCAGTTTTTTTGGTATCCAATAACCGAAGGGGTATTAACATCAGTCGGAGGCACCCCTTAAACATTCAAGATCTCGTAATTTTCTTTAATCTACATCTGAGTTGCAAAACGTATCTCAAGATCTGCAAAAAAACTGGTTAGTTCCTTCTATCTAAATCTCTCAATGTGCTTGAATATGTTGTCCATTAGTTATTTCAACATCTCAACAAAACTCTGATTCTTCTGTGTTGACGATGGACTGCATATTGAAATCACCATTAAAAAAATAAATAGAATTATATATAAACAAGATTACTATCTAATTTATAAAAGATATGAAATTGTTGATCATATTCTCTCTTGTAGTTTGGTGGTGTAAATTGAAATTATGTTGATTTTGCAAGTATACAGCCACCTGCAGAAGCTTCTTGGGGTGAATCATGAAGTGGGTTCTAGATTCTCATGTTCTCTTATTCATCGATTAGATCTTCCACCAGATGCTTCATCCATGGAGTTATCACGAAGAGTGGAATGCAATTCCAAGCTAGCTGTTGCTCTTTCAGTCAATGATGAGTTCTTTGTTCCTGTTCTTGACAGGAGAAGTGGAATCAACTTAATTCATAATGTTGTTTAGAATTGTGGGTAAGTTTAACATACCCTGTTACTTTCTTTACCCATTAAGTTGATGTCTGAATTTGCTAATTCTTTGTATTTTTTTTTTGTAGATCAAACTTTAACAGGTTAATAGTGGCTTCTTTACATCTATATTGGAGAGGGGTGATGAAATGATTTGTGTTGCATCCATCAGGTAGGCTTTTGCTGCTTTAATTAATTTTAATAAAATTTGTCAATTTCTTACCTTAATTTCAAATATTAATAAAATATGTTTAGGATTAATGGGACCCAGCTACCAGAGATGCCATTTATTGGGACCCACCATATTTATAGATGCCAAATGATGTGTCGTAGGTTGTTATCTACTATTAAATCAGTAAGAAAAAGTAGAACATTTTATTTGCTTTTGGTGCGTGTAAATTACTTGTAGAGGGGTGATGAAATGATGTTGGTGTTTCCTGGAATAGATATGTTGTAGAAACCACTAATTCCAGAGAAAGGTTCATCATTACATAAGATAAGAATGGAATTGGAATTGGAAAGCAACATTCTAAAGCCTGACAGATCTGAATCAAGTTCTCCCGATGTTAAAGAGTCGATGCAAATAATTGCTCCATCGGATTCCGGTTCTCAAGATGCTAGCGATGCGACTCTTTCCATCAGTTATGTTAAAGTTGACATCCCGTTTCCGGTTCCGGAAAGAAAACCAAATGTTATTAGTGATTCCGATGTTTAGCTTGATGGTGATGATACAGTTATGCAGAATGGTGAAGAGAGTTCTTAAAATTTTGCTATTTCTGTTTCCATTCCAGTAAGAAAAGGTGTGTGTGGGGTGGTAATGTGACTACAAATGGAATTCTTTACTAATGAAGGAGGCCTTGGAAAACCTGACATTAAAGACATTCTGAAGCGTGCTGCAAACATATACAATGGATTTACACCAAAATCTCTAGAAGAGGCAGAAAGAAAAGTTTCATCTTCCATCACTAAAGTTGACTACACGGCTATTTACGCTTCTAACCTTGTAACAACAATTCGCAAAGCTTCAGGAAACATAGGTATATGTGAAGATTACTTTTTTTTCTTTCTCTCATGCTTATTTTCTTACTTGCTGTGGATTACAGAAAAGCCATTGGAAGGATTTCATATAGTTGTGGATGCTGGGAATGGAGCTGGTGGTTTTTTTGTTGTAAGTTATCTTTTAAGAATGATGTATAAAACATGAGGTAAATTATATATATATATAAAGATTACTTTTCAAAATCTTATTTGTTTTTCAGGGAAATTTGTTTTTCGAGGAAGATTTCAGTGTTACAAGCAAGATTGGGCCAGGGCTTTAGATTCAGGCGCAAGGTAGATATCATTTAGCTATAAATTATAATCCACATTGAAAAGTTAACCACTTGCATGAATGCCTCTTATCTTTTGTTCGTTGATACTAATTATCATCTTTTTTTAGAATATTAGCTCCAACAGCATACATCTTCTTTGCCTCCACCCTTCCAGTCATTGCCTTCGGTGAGCAACTGAATAAAGAGATAGGTACAAATAGATACACTATGTGTAATTCACAAATCATTATGCTTATTTGGCTTATGTTTTAATGACAGATGATACGTTGATTGCAGTGGAAACTCTCACCTCTACTGCTATATGTGGAATTATCCATGCAATATTCGGTGGACAACCTCTTTTGATTTTAGGCATTGCTAAACCTACTATTATAATGTACAATTATCTCTATAGTTTTTCTAAAGAAAGACCTGAATTGGGGAGGCAGCTGTTTCTAGCTTGGGCTGGATGGTATAGAACCTTCTAGAAATGTCTCAAGTATAATTATCATGTGTAATCTTATTCTTTCCTATCAAGCATATATGATAATATACATATTCTTCTTGGCTTTAGGGTTTGTGTCTGGACTGCTGTGATGTTGTGTGTTCTTGATATACCCAATGCTTGCACACTCATCACAAGATTCACAAGGGTTGCTGATGAACTTTTGGCATGTTGATTTCAGTGCTCCTTATGCAAGAGGTTATTAAGGTATATTATTCAGATGCACTTCTTAATGGTTTAACTTTCCTTTTGAGAGATAATTCATTCAGTGTGATCTTATGTTGCTTGCAATTATTTTGGCATTTGGTACCCTGTGCCGCATTTACTTGATCTTATGGATCTTGATGGCGGTGACGATAATAATGCCATTGTCCCCGTTGATCAGCCTGCAGCAGGGTAAGGCGCTGTTTCTTTTTTATTCTACTAAAGTACCAAAATACCCCTGTTATATATATAATTTAATTTTGGATATAAGCTGATCTTAAGGATGCTTATCCAACTGTCATGGTAGATTTACAGGTATTTCCAACCTCCAAAATTACCTTTTTGGTTCTTCAAATCCAAATAATTAGTGGTATTGAGGTGCTTGTTAATGTTCTTGGACATAGAGTTGCAGTACTAAGCACTTCCAAGTGAGTTTAGACTTGTCCCTTATATGCCTAATATGTTTTACTAGCTAAAAATCCCATTATGATTCTATAGTTATATTTTCACCTTAGTGGGACAATTCATTGATTATGGTCCTTTTTATTCCCCATGGGCCCTTTTTATTTTCTTATTTTCATCAATTTTTTTTGAGAAAAAATTATTTATTATTATTTTTTTTGCAATTTCTCTCAGCTAAATTTAAATGGGATAAAGCTAAACAAGAATTTTATAAAATTGTAAATGTGGTGAAAGGGTAGTTCTAAATATTTGCATCTGGTTTCAGGGGTTACTCAAGGAAAATGCAAGTGGAAGCAAATACTGGGCATATGGAGATGACTTTAGAGATACACCAAATGACTTAAATTTTTGCTTAAATGGTCTCATATGGCCTGATCGGACTCCTCATCCTGCTCTAAATGGTGATTACTATAATTTTTTTGCTTAGTATTTAGGTTTTTGTTTAGTTATTTCCAACAAAAATGTTTCCATGATGAATCTTTTGGTAGAGACAATCTATAAGAATTACTTCATTGAGCTAATTATGATGCGATCCTTTGTTTATTTGTTTTCAGAGGTCAAGTATTGCTATCATCTCACATTTGAGTTTATAGGAATCAACAATCACTATGAAACTTCTAGTGTTTAGATTTCTTACTGGTTGTGAACATTTGTATCTTCCCTTTCTACCCTTCACTTGCAGGTTGATAATTTGTCAAGAATGTTCAGACTATTTTCCAAAAATACCCCATGGATTAGATCCTGTCTCTAGTATGTTTAAACAGGTTTGTGATTTAGGAGTTGGATTCTATTTTTTTAAAGTAGAATGTAGTTATTTGTATTTGTTGTCATCTGTTTTTATCTTTTTGACACAATGCAACATGTTGCTGCTGAAGGCACAACCTTGGTCAAACAGGCAGAAGATGCTGCAAGTAATAAGAAGGTAGAAAAGAGATTGCAGGTTGATCCTGCTACATAGCCAATAATGATCTTTAGGGTCTGCTAGAAGGATTGGAGATTGCAGTTATGCTTCTATCTAAGACTTCACGCCAAGGACTTGATGAATTTAAGATATCATATTTTGGCATGGCTAGAAGCTTTAGAGGAAACGAGACTCAAGCAAAAGTAAACACACAGAGAGTTGTTGGCACATAGTGTAATTGTCTATAAATGAGTTCATTTTTTATAACATTTACTCACTATTGGAATAATTATTTGTATTTGACATATTAGTGAAATGAATTATACTTGTTATTTATGGTATTTTATTTTGTATTATGAGATTTTTAATGTATTATTTAATTTGAAAATTAGTAAATCTATAAATAATATTTTTTTTAAACATTTAAAATTATGATACGCAAAAATGTGTGTCATCTTCATTTATGACATGGCCTTTCTTGACAGGGGCTTTCTTGATACGCATTGCGTGTCATTAACACGCGCAACGTAAGGTTACGACATGCGAATGTGTGTCGTCTTCCTTTATGACAGGGCCTTCCTTGATACGCATTGTGTGTCGTAAACGCGCGTCGTAAATGCGCGTCGTCTATAGACGACGCGCAAAAGCCTTTCGTCTATAGATGACGCGCAAAAGCGTGTCGTCTCTCTTTATGACAGGGCCTTCCTTGACGCGCATTTGCGCTTCGTCTGAGCCTTTTACGATGCGCAATGAGCGTCGTAAAAGGCTGTTTTTCTAGTAGTGTCTGGACCCGCTGACTTGCCGTACACGGGTTTTAAGTGACGGACTCGCCGAGTAGGTCACTGGACTCGCCGAGTAGCCCCTGTTTTGTGAAAATCTATATAAAGGGACTTTCAGATCGATACCCTAGCAGAGAGATGAACCCTTGGAGGCCAATTGTCGACTAAAGGTGCTGTTGGAGCATGGGAAGCAAGGGAATCAACCCTACATTCAATTTTAAGGAGAATCAAGTCAAAATCAAGTTTACTCTTACCTAATCTCTTGTTTGAACTATGTTTTTATCAATTGATTTCGTTTTTGTGTTTGTTTCTGCTGTAATCATGAGCTAAAAACTCATAACTTCTGTTTAGGTAGATGAATTTGTGAACATGGATTGATTATTTGATTAGGATTAATTTTAATTGGTGATTATGTTTTATTAAGCTTGTTAAAGAACCTTATGTGTTAACAATAACTATTCTTCTATTAATAAATTAGTAATTAAGTTGTATGAACATCTCTTAGTTGCTAATTTCATATGATTTACGTGACCACATAGTTGTATGTCTAGGAATAACGAATGTGAAACTAGAATTAACTTGAAGATAGGTAAGTTAATGTGTGAGCTTGTGTGATACACCATCAACTAGAGGTTAATTGAATCACCAATTTGATTAGCTAATTACAAGTCTTTATAAACCTGAATCAACAAACTAGGAAATTCATTAATTTAGACAACTGACCATTGCTTGAATTAATATGTTTTCTAAGGATTAGCTATAGCGAATGTGAATCTAATCACTTTAGTCGGTAACCAATGAAGAATTAATCCGATATATTTACCATAAAATCATCCATGGGAACAAATGATTCGAACCTAAACAGAAGGCCTTTTTAATCATTGAATTTAGTTGATCTTTGTTTTCTTAGCTATTAGTTGCTTAGTTTGCGTGTTAGTAAAGTATTTAAGTTTCTAGTCTTGCAAAACTAGAGAAACCCCCTTTCTATTACTTGTTTTATTTAGATAATATTAGCATTTATTTTAATTGTTTACCATTCCCTGTGTTCGATACCCTACTTGCTTGAACTATATTACTAATCGATAGGTACACTGCCTTTCGTGTGTTTATTTTGTATCTAAGTTAGTAGGATTAAAACTAGTTTGTTTCACACACATCAAGTTTTTGGCGCCGTTGCCGGGGAACGGTTCTAAATAGTTAATTTTATTTGCTAATTTTTATCATTTTTTTATTTTATTTGTTGATTAATTTTTTTATTTAGTTTAATTTTTTATTTTTATTTATATTTATTATGTATTTTCCAAATCTCGATGCTTTTGATGCTTTTCTTGAGGAAGTAGTACAGGAAATTGAGCAAGAAGATGAGGAGTATGACTCAGATGAAGATTTGAAGAAATTTGGAAGATGGTTAGATAACATCTTACCCAACACAGAAGGGACATCTGAGTTACAAGATGAAGAATTTAATCCAGAAAGAGACTTGGAGGAGCTGGAAAGATTGCTAGCAGAGGGGTCAGATGAAGAACAAGAAAAACCTGAGTTGCAGAAACCAAG